CCTGCCGTGCACAAAGGGTCCAGGACTCACTGCAGTACAGGAGTGTGCTCAGGACACAGGCTCTATAGACCTGGATCTTGGTATGTGTTGTCAGTTTCTTATTGAGCCATACTCTCTTTGTGAGTCTAGAGAACATGGTAGCTGCTTTGCCAATGCATTTATCCAGCTTGACATCCAAGGAGAGGGTGTCAGAGATGGAGCCAAGGTACACAAAGTCATGAACAACCTCCAATTCTTGTGTGGAGATGGTAATAGAAGGAGGTGAGTCCACGCCCTGGCCCATGACTTGTGTTTTCTTCAGGCTGATTGTTAGTCCAAAGTCTTGGCAGGCCTTGCTGAAACGATTCATGAATAAATATTGTATGTATGTATTTATTTATCCTTGATTTCCTTTTTATAAGGTATCTGTGATGTACCTTTACTTATAACCCATTGCCTTATCCAAGTTATGTGTGGCTTGATTTATTTTTGGACAGTCTTTTTTCACTCAAAAAGTTGTTAATGCAACAGAATCGGATTACAAAACAACAGCATAATCCAGTGAGTGTCCAATCAGAAATAAAGCCCACTGAGTTCAGTGAAACAAATTTCCATGTCAGCTTATACTGGATCCAAAGCTATAGTGGTAGATTTGGAAGTACAGGAACTCATTACAAGTCTCCACAGCAAGCTCCTCCTAGGAAAATCCCAAATGGCCGACAACTGGACCAGATAGAGGCCATTCTGGCAGACATGGTGGAAGAAACAATGGCCCTGAGGTAGTGATTGCAGGAAAGACAAAAACAAGAACCTATGAGCAGCTGTTGGAGAATCTTATCCCTTTTGGAGAATTCAGGAAATGGTTCTCCTAGTTTTTCTTCCTACAAAAAGGATAGTGTTGGTTTTTTTTTTGAAAGCCTATTGTAGCGAGCCACTCTCAAGCCTCTACCCATCCAGGCCTATAGGAGTGCTCACTACCTCTCACCAAAAACTTGCTGCCACCAACCTATCCTTAAAATCAAAAGGACAAGTGTTTCTTTCAAACAAATAAAAGGTTTATTGATTACACAAAATAAAAAGGGCGAATCACAGTTATAAAATCAATTAGTCAATCACTGCTTATAAGACACTAGCTCACACAGACTTTTCCGTCACTGACAGGCCTTTGTCACTCTAACAATCACTCTAATCACTCATCTCTCAAACTTATCTCAAAACTGATCTCTCAAAACTCCTCACACACACCATATATAACTCATCTCCTCCCACTTCTGCACCACCCTCCGTCCTCTCATTGGCTGAGGTTCCCCTGCCCAGCTGTGACGGACAGGTGAGAACAGAGCTGAATGCCACACCTATTTATGCACAGCTATAAACAAAATATTATGACCATCAGGGATATGCCTTGTCTCCACTTAATGCCCAAATAAGGGCCAAACAACTGATGCTTCATCTTACCCAATCTTTCACTGACTGGATCCATACTAGTATTAGTGTGTTTCCAGTTGTCCAGGAACTGGCTTTTTTCCCACCAAAAATAGAAAATGCACAGCTATAAACAAAATATTATGACCATCAGGGATATGCCTTGTCTCCACTTAATGCCCAAATAAGGGCCAAACAACTGATGCTTCATCTTACCCAGTCTTTCACTGGATCCATGCTAGTATTAGTGTGTTTCCAGTTATCCAGGAACTGGCTTTTTCCACCAATGGAAAAATAGAAATAGCAGGAAGGTCCTAGATTGAATAATGAAGCAGGGCAAAGGGGCTTCTGGCTAAGCAGTGCCTATCTCAGAGCCAAGTGCTCTGATTTTTTTTTTTAACTTTCCATCTCTTTTCCAGATAGCAGAGGAAGCTGACATCAGGCAACCTCTTTGACGGGACTGAGTGGGGGAACTTTAAAAGGAGAATGGGAATTTGATTCCTTCCTGAAAGGGCACTGGAAAGAGCCCACACTTCTCAACCATTGCTGTCCCATAGCTGTCCTCTTGCCTTGATCTGAAATTAATGGTGGCATGGATTTTGATGTTTTCATGAATGACTTTGCAGCAGGAATGCTGAGGAAAGGTTGTGGTCCTCCTCCTCCTCTTCCTCTTTGTTTTGTAGAGTGCTGGAACAGAGGGGGGAGATATGTTTTCAGTACTATGGATTCCAGTTTGTCAGCATCCTTCTTGAAGTGCAGTGTCCAGAACTGAACACAGTGCTCAAGATAAGTCCTAACAGGTAATGAATTTGGGGACTATAATTCTGTTAATGCAGCCTAAAATAGCATTTGCCTTTTTTATAGCCACATCACACTGTTGGCTCATATTCAGCTTGTGATGAACGATGATTCCAACATCCTTCTCTCTCACTATTGTTGAGCCAGGTATCCCCCATCTTGGAACTGTATGTTTTGTAGGTTATCACAGAACAAAGAAAGGCTAATGATGGGGGTGATCACAGACAATTAGGAACGCAATTAGCTTTAGAGAGAAAATGAAGAAGTCGACACACATACGTCCACCAGTGGAGCCTCAAGGCAACATCCTGAGAACTCCTTTTATTAAGTAGCAAGCTTACACAGAATGTTCAAAGAATTCAGATAGGATACTGGTTATATAATCGCCACTGGGATTGGCCAGAAAAAATCTTTGAACTTATGATTAACTCTAAGGGAAAAGGCAGAACGAGGGAGTCAACCCACCTGTCAGGAGCCTCTGCTCTCTGCCAGGAGAGTTTGCTCTTCACTGAAACAGGAATGCAGCTAGACCTTGAGCAGGGTTTTCCCACATTCCCCTTTTTTTCTTTTCTTTCAAGCAAAGGCATATATTCTTGCATATATTTGCTAACTACATATAAATGTTTTCGGCAAAGGCCAGAATGTGAAGCTTTGCAAAAGGTAGTTATTATGGAAAAGAAGGTTGGTATAAATTGAATAAAACAACAGGAAATTACAAGGAGTATGAAGAGCATAATTGCATAAATGAATACACAACACAACAGCATCAGGGAGCTGTCATTCATGAGGAGCATACTCGGTAACAAGTAAGCGGTCAATACCAGAATGTTTTCCTTTTGGAATACTGTTGCAATGACAGGAAAACTTTACTTATTTGACAAGGGCCAAATTATATGTTACAGTACATCATTAGAAAGTGAAATCCATTAGTATTCCAGAGATGTGATTCAGGCAGACCTTTATGAAGGAAAAAATCTTACTTTCAAATGATGCCTGCGCTTACTGCCCAATGGCCCAACATACAACAAAGCAACCCAATCTGCAAACTGTGAATAACTTGTGTTATTCATTTCAAAAATGTAAGCAGTCGTCTCCTCTAATGACATCCTGTCTGTAACATATACTTTGGCCTCAGGTAGTACAATTCCCATTGACAAAGATATTTCAAGGACCTAGCAGTATGTCCCCTTCACAAAAGGTGGAGGAAAAGGTCACTGGATTCACATTTTCATGCCCAATTATATATTTTTCATCCTTCAGCACTGCCACCAGGCTGGATTGTGTTTTCAAGTTTTCCTGGGTATTTTGGAGAGAAAAATAGTCTACCAAAGCTATCAATGAAAGACAAAACAGAAGCAAAACAAAATAATAATAAAGAAGACAAAAGCATTGTGGCACCTTAAACACTACCTGCTATATTTTAATGTCAACTTTAATGGAACCAGTCTGCTTCTTCAGAAATAAAACTGAGAATACAGAGACCACATGGCAAAACATTCATACACAGCTCTAAGATAAAGAGACATATAAGGAAAATAATGGCAGATAACAACATTATTATTGTATAGTGCTGCCTCGCTTAACGAGCGCCTCGGTTAACGACGAATCCGCATAGCAACGTTTTTTGCGATCTTTTTAATGGTAAAATATCGCTTTGTGATGATTGTTAAGTTGTTTCGCTTACCAATTTCCGCATAGCGATGTTTTAAAAACAGCTGATCGGCGGTTCCAAAATGGCTGCCGGGAAAAAATGGCTGCCCGCTGTGTTTTCACGCCCATTCCTCGCATACTGGGCAGCAAAAATGGTGGCCGTATGGAGGATTTTCACATAACAGTGAGTTTTAAGCCATAGGAACGCATTAAACGGGGTTTAATGCATTCGTATGGGCTTTTTCTTTTCGCATAGCCACGAATCCGGATAGCGATGATTTTTCCGGAATGGATTATCGTTGCTATGCGGGGCACCACTGTATTACTTCACCTTTGATAGTGGCTTAAGAACTTTTGCCTGATATTTAATCCATTGAGATGGGTATTAAGCATATGGATATATTTTCTCTCCTTTATTTCCCTCTGATTCTTGTTGTGTAATTTTTCTTTTCCAGAATAGCAATTTTCAAATCCTGTGAAGAGTATCAAGGTACAGTGGTGCCTTGCAAGATGAAAATAATTCATTCCACAAGATGTGTTGTCTTGCGAGTTTTTAGTTGGCCTTGCAAGATGAAAATAATTCATTCCATAAGATGTGTTGTCTTGCGAGTTTTTAGTCGTGCGAAGTGTGGTTTCCCATAGGAATGCATTGAAATTTAATTAATGTGTTCCTATGGGTGAAAAAAGTCAGAACAAAGTCACTTACCAGGTAGACTGAGCCCCGCTCCTCACGGTGCCTTGGTAGCCTGGGAGACCAAGGAGCGTCTGTAACAATGGCCCAGAATGCTGGCAGCGGCAGTGCGGGAATGAGCACTAAGGAGAAGGAAGTTCTCGCCACCGCTGCCTTGCAAGTGCTGTCAAGCTGGTCCCAGCTGCACGGCAGCACCGGTGGCTGCAGGGAGGGAGCAGTGGGACAATGGCCGCTCAGAAGCAGCCACTGAGTGAGGGCTCCTGTTGCAGGAGGAGCCGGTGGCTCGCCCGCTTCCTTGCTTGCTCACTCGCTCACCCAGGGTGGCACTCCGGGTGAGTGCCACCAGGCTCTGTGGGGACCTGCCCAGGGAATCATCATGTTAGGGGGAGGAGGAGAAGGATGCAGGGTCCCCTGCGGTGGATTTGGCCCTCCGGCTTTGACAAAACCGCTGTGAGGGCTCCTGTTGCAGGAGGAGCCGGTGGCTCGCCCGCTTCCTTGCTTGCTCACTCGCTCACCCAGGGTGGCACTCCGGGTGAGTGCCACCAGGCTCTGTGGGGACCTGCCCAGGGAATCATCATGTTAGGGGGAGGAGGAGAAGGATGCAGGGTCCCCTGCGGTGGATTTGGCCCTCCGGCTTTGACAAAACCGCTGTGATGGTGGCAGAAGGATGCAGGGTCCCCTGCGGTGGATTGGGCCCTCCGGCTTGGACAAAACCGCTGCGATGGTGGCTTGCAGGCTGCAAGCCTCCTGCCCACAGGGAGGCGAAAGCCAGCCCAGACCATCCTTGCCCCGCAGTGGTGGCGAGGCCTGGCCGGCTGGGAAAGAAGTGATGCCCCGGCGCAGAGGTGAGTCACTCACTCTGTTGGCTGGACTCAAACATCTAGGGGAGAAGCCCTGCGCGTGCCAAAGAGGCGGAGGCAGGTGAATGCTGCGGGTGGAGGGGGATGGCACATGGGGCTTCAGACCGAAGAGGAGCTCGAGCTCCTCCCCTGGATATTTGAATCTGGCTGTTCCAGACTCAAACATCCGTTGTTACAGATGCTACCAAGGTACCGTGAGGAGCAGAGCTTGGCCTACCTGGTAAGTGACTTTTTCTGACTTTTTTTGCCCATAGGAACACATTAATTAAATTCCAATGCATTTCTATGGGAAACCGCATTTCGCAAGATGAAAACCTCGCAATAAGACACGTCTAGTGAGTCACTGAAAACATTGCAAAATGCTTTCATCTTGCACGTTTTTTTGTTGTGCAAGGCATTCGTCTTGCGAGGTACCACTGTACATTGAAAAAATACCTTCTCCTTTTTGCTTCTGCTTTCTTTCTTGTAGATATACCTGCACAGATTAACATGGGGACCACTTCAAAAAAATACAAAAACTATGTGTACATTTGAAAAACATGTACAACTGCAAATGCATCCACTGGAAAAAATATTAAAAAGAATATCCATTTCGGAAAAGTGTCCATGGAAATACACATTGAATCAGGTATGGTAATAGGACAGAATGAAAGCCTGTAAGAAATCAGAATTATAGAATCATAGAATAATGCAGTAGAAAGGGTCCTATGAGGCCATTGAGTCCAACCCCCAGCTCAATACAGGAATCCAAATCAAAGTAGATCTGACAGAAACTACTTGTCTAGTTTTCTATTGAATGCCTCCAGCACTGGAGCATTCACCACTACTGGAAACAATTGGTTCAATTTTCATACTGGTTGTTGTGGGTTTTTCGGGCTCTTTGGACGTGTTTTGAAGGTTGTTCTTCCTAACGTTTCGCCAGTCTCTGTGGCCGGCATCTTCAGAGGACAGCACTCTGTCTCCGGCCACAGAGACTGGCGAAATGTCAGGAAGAACAACCTTCAGAACACGGCCAAAGAGCCCGAAAAACCCACAACAACCATTAGATCCCGGCCGTGAAAGCCTTCACGAATAAATTGTCATACTGCTCGGATAGTTAGGAGGTTTGATTGATGGATTTTGACAATCATATTACAGAGAATATACAGTGTCTCCCATCTCATATAATGACAATCCTTTTCTTATTTTATTAAAAATCGATTTAAAAAAAAGAAAAAGTGGGGTCCCTAATAGCTTTAGTATTGCGTGTCTATAACTGAAGTATGTGGAGTCCATGCACACTGACCCCATGCACACTGAGCGTACAAACCCTCCCCCTCCCCCACCATTATTTCTTCCAACATATGAAAGAGATCATCTGAAGAGGAGTGTCTGATTTATTCGGATGCTGGATAAGGAGTATCTACTCAGATACAGCATGCTCTCCCTCTTCAGATTGTTGTCTTCATTTCCTGAAAGTGATGACGCAGGATGTGGACCTACTGTGCTCTGTTCAACATGTCTGGGCTCCACATGTGTTCTGAAAATGACTGAACTGGACTAAATAAGTTGAAGCCAAAGCATGCATTGGTGGCTTGTTAGAGCTACAAAAGGGAAGTGGATGAATTAACTGGAAAGAAAGAAAATTGATGGTTATTAATGTGTTTTCATGGCAGCACTGGAACAAAATATGCCTGCTATATATAATTCAACAATCTTGAAACAAAGCTTTACAAATTGCTGCCTGGGTTTTAATTGGTCAGTCTAATGAAAATAATGTCCAGAATTAGTTTGAGAAACAGTTATTCTGTTCATGTGGATTTTAGTTATTTAACTCTCAGGTGTGAATACATAGAATTGATGGGAGAAGGTAATTTTCTTTTTTCCTCTAGGCTCAATATTTCCCAGCAGGAGAAATATGCCCATTTTGACTGTGGCTTTTTTTCCCTCCCAAAGAAACACATATGATTATTTTTCATTATCACAACAGCTTGATTTATCTCCTTTGTCAATATTTGTCTCCATCTTGCTGTTGCTTATCTCCAGGGAGCAGGACCTGCCGTGTTCTGATCATAGGCAAAATTCTGTGCTTATCATGAAGACACAATTGGTTTAACATTGAAGCTGGAGGCTTCCTCCCAACATGTTAATAATAATTCAGATCTCCAATTTAAGAAGTTTGTATTAGGAAGGTACCTACTTCATGCTAGTTCAATTCATTTCATAGCATTTTATGGCCCAAGGAATCAGGACTCAATATGAGTAGATTAATACAAAGTTGGGATAAACAAATATTATTTCTTATTAACACTGTTATGAAATGTGTCTGTTTGTGTGTGTGTGTGCACGCACGCACATGCACACGCATGGGTGTGTGCATATTTTAATATAACTTGCCATACCATTTGTGTGTGTGTGTGTGCGCGCATGCACACGCATCGGTGTGTACATATTTTAATATAACTTGCCATACCATCCCTTGTGGTTTGATTCAAGCAGGCAGCCAACTCTCAATACAGTATAAACATATCTGAACATTGCCTTCTGCACCCTCTCCAGATCTTGGAAGGAGCTACTTCTTACCCAGCAGGCATCCTGTCAGGAACAGGAAGAAATTTGAACTCTCATACGTTTCTGGAAGTGGGGTAGTAGTAAATTTGGAGGTGCTCATCAGGTCAGTCCCCATAGGCAGCCACCCTGAATAACAAGGGTCCAAAAATATGAGCAGTTAGGTCCATTTATATCAAAATAAGAAGAGCAAGTCTTCTGCAAATTTAATGGCACACTCCACCAGCAGGGAACTTTGCCAAGCAAAGCCTCTTTGCCCTCCTGGCCGTAATAGCGCGTGATGTGTGAAGAGAGTGGGAGGGGTGCCTTATTTAATAGGCACTCCTCTCCCAATCCGTGGAGTTCAAGTGCTGGAGCCGCTGATGAGCCAAGGATTCAGGCAGCGGGGCTCACTCTTTGCCTGCCATCTCCAGATAGAGCGAGACCTTGTAAGTCTCTCGAGAGTTCTGAGAGCGAGAGGGGAATGCCAGGTTATTTAAGGGGCGTTCCCCCCCCTTCTAGCCGCTAGAGCTCCATTGCAGGCTGCAAATTTGAACTGCATCATTTAACGACTCGACCGTTCCTGAAGGAAGGGAGGGTGGCATCGGCTCCCTCCCAGGGTTCTGTTTTATTGACTTATTTTCTACTATAAGCATTGCATCGAGTTGTTCTACTAAGTAAAGGAGTTTGTGAATTAATTAAGGAGCACAAAGGGGGTGATGGCAGTGGCGCAGCTTGCGCCACCCACGCTTAGGCATGAAGGGGGCAAAGAAATAGAAGAAATATTTTAAAAATAATTTATTAAAGAATGAAATTAATCAATACTTTTAAAACAACTTGGATCACAAGGTGGTAGGCATGGGGGGTCCCAATATCAGTGGATGTGGGCAGCAGTTATTTGGTACCCCCCTCCCCAATGTGTTGGATCCAGTTCAGGTGGGAACAAGTGGTGCAGTTACTAAGCCTTTCTGTTTGTAATTTAAACGCTTGCCCCCTCCTTCCACTGCTTCTCTTTGTTTATAGCAGCATTGCAAAGAAACCCTCGGACTGAAGGGATGACCAGGCCATACCGCATAAGGCCTAAATAGAAGAAGAAGAAGAAGAAGAAGAAGAAGAAGAAGAAGAAGAAGAAGAAGAAGAAGAAGAAGAAGAAGAAGAAGAAGAAGAAGAAGAAGAAAATAAATAAAAGACAATAAAGACAGTAGTAAGAAATTTGAATTAAAGTAAACAATACATTAAATAATAATAGTTAAAAAAGAGAAAGAAATAAAAATAAGAGGGAGAAGGGGCCTAAGACATAGCTAATATATTAAATGTTAATTATTAATAATTTATTAACAACCATATAAATGTATTTGTTATTTAATATTAACTAATTAAATCAGCAAGTACCATCATTCAAATTAATTCATTCATGGAATATATTATAGATAAAAGCTTTTGATTCATTTAACTTAATAATTGATTTTAATAAGGACAGCAAGCGGTTAGGAGAATCAAGTGATCAGAGAGTGATCTAGGAACTAGGAATTTGAATAAATAGGGTCTCACACTTGGTGAATAGACAGGACCCTTCCTGTTTCAGTACAAGTGTTTTGTTATGCAGTCTAGAAGTCAGCAATTAAAGAACCCAGGTCATAGTGTCTGACCATAATTAAGAAATAGTGATAGTTACGCCTCTAGGTGGCACTACAATAGGAACTCAGGTTCTTAACCTGTACTGAGAAGAATTTCCACTTCAGTATCAGCTTATTAAGAATTATTAATTTTGGTTCAAAAAAAGAGAAAGAAAATTAATTAATAAATAGCCAGGACCCTCTTTATTACTGGTGCAGTAATTGCTACTCACCTAGGGGGTGCTAAGTTAGGAACCCAGGCTCTTATCCTGTACTGAGAAGAACTTTCAACTGTATTGGCAACTGTATTGCTGAGGCAATAGTGAGCACTTACCCAATAGGAAGCCTGTTGAGGGCCAGTTGCGTAACTGATATCGCATCTGACTATGGATCAGAAGATTGTAGGTTTGGCTCCTGGTGGGCTTGGGTAGAACACTTTAAAGAAGGGGAAACAGCCAGCCAAGAAAAAGCCAGCTTCCCAGGTGTCACCTTCCCAATCCTCTTCCGACAAGGAATCCTGGCAAGAACTTCAAATCATCATCATCATCATCACCATCACTATCTCTGCATTAGAGGCTGAGCGGCTGGTGAGACAAGCTCCACAGCCAAGTGACGTTCAGCCACACAGATAAGCTAGGGAGGCCAAGAACCACCGTAGGGCTAAGTTCAAGGCAATAGTGTATTATCTAATAGCTAGATTTGCTGTTTTTGAGGCACAGCAGCTACAGGAAGCGACTGCCAGATGTGATGCAGATGGAGCTTCTTCAACACCAAGGTCACGGAGTGCAGAGAAGGGTAGAAGGTTGTCAACTCCTATAACGGCCAACACAGCAATTGTGTACCAGGGAGTGCAAGAGGAAGCAGATGAAGTTGGCCCTGAGAGACCACACACTGGGGACAGACCAAGCACGGCAACAACTTCATCAGGTGACTTAGCCGCTGCACCGGGCATGTCCACACCAATCCCCGCATGGCCTTGGGCCGGCAGGAGTCTATTCAATCACACACTTTATGCACAATACAATTCACATAGCACAGGGCTTCCCAGCAATGCCATACCAGTGTCCACACCAATCCCCGCATGGCCTTGGGCCAGCAGGAGTCTATTCAATCACACACTTTGTGCACAATACAATTCACATAGCTCGGGGCTTCCCAGCAATGCATGGCCATGATCCGGTCCATAATTCAGTAGCTGGGGCATGCCATACCCTTTCACATTGTCAGCCCAACATAACACCATGGCTAGCATAGGGGTTTGGCCTTACCAGTCCGTGGCTACAGCATAGGAACCCTGCTAGGCCAAATTATGGAGACAGATTTGACAGTGGTCATTTGAATACGAAGGTCACCCTTGGTCAGAATCTCTGCCTTGGAGCGTGGCAGGGGGTTCTCCCCCGCCTGGTCTGTTGGGAGTACAACTCCAAGGACACTTGTACAAAGAGACCATGCCGCTCAGGCATGAGCGTACCACTAGGACACTTGTACAAAGAGACCATGCCGCTTAGGCATGAGTGCTGACTGCGGAGGTCAGCACCCAAATTCAGCATGTGTTGAGCTGGCACCCAGCACCAAACGAGGGCACAGGAGGTGGTTAAAAACCCAACAGTGGTAGGGGTATTCCTGGAAAAGGGACCAAGCCCAATTAGGGAAAGGAACTAAGGAAGGTGTAGATTCATTCTGAATAGCTTTCAGGTATTATCAGAAGAGCTGGGATTACTCCTAGCCGAAGAGAAAACTGAGGGACCAACCACATCCCTCACTTTCCTAGGGATAGAGCTGGACATGATGCAGCAAACATTACAGCCGCCTGACAATAAACTACTGGATTTTAGGACTAAGCGACTAAGTGAAAGGTGTCATTAAGGGAGATAGTAGGGCACCTGAACTTTGTCTGTAGAGTGGTAGCATTTCTGTGGTGACTGTGCAATGCTATGAGGGGTCTACATCGACCTTTGCATAGGACCAGGGTCACACATGAAATGAAAGAATATCTATTAGTATGGAGTCAGTTTTAGCAGAATAAAGGGGATCTCCTTATGGAGAGGTGAAATTGGGCTGAAAGCAGAATTCCAGGTTCATTCAGATGCAGCAGGATCCTTGGATTTGGAATTTACTTCAGAGGATGGTGGTATGCTGGCACTTGGCCTGATGAGAGGCATCAGAATGGTATTACCAGAGATTTGACATTTCTAGAATTTTCCAAATAGTGGTGCACTTGGGATACGGGCCAAAGTGTGGTCAAATTCGGTACTCCATTTTTGGTGTGACAGTCAAGCGGTTGTTTACATTATAAGCAATCCTTATGTCACATTCAGAATGGGTTATGACATTGATCAGGGCGTTTACATTCGGGCACTGCAGTTTAACATACTAGTGCATGCCCGACATGCACCAGGTCTAGAAAATTGGATAGCTGATATATTGTTGTGCCAACAGATCATGCTGTCAGGGAGCTAGACCCTGGAGGTGAAGAGTTCCCAGAAGTTTGGCCCTTGGAGGTCTGGCAAATTGGTGTGACGGTGCATCAAAAGCAATAGGTTTGGCCCTGGAACCAAAGACAAGGAAGGGTTATTTGGCCGTGAGTATAGATTTCCAGGAATTTACGGAAATAGTTGACCTGGAGCCGGCTTGGCCGGCACCCATTGAATATTTACAACAATTTATCATACATTTAAATAGAAAGGAACTGACACCTGGAACTATTCAGGGAAGGCTGTCAGCACGGGTCTGTTAGGAAAAAGTTAATGGCTATAGAGGTCACTCAGGGGATTACCGTATATATATATTTAAAAAAAGAGATAGAAGAATGGTCCAAAGAGAGGGGTAGAACACAAGACATCAGGGCTCATATCACCTCCATTAGTAGAGTGTTATTTGCAACAGTGGGCACTATTATGCAGGGATGAATATGAAGGGGTCATATTTGAAGCAGTGTCATTAATGACATTCATTGGGGCCATTAGAATTAGCAAGGTGGCTGCATCTAGGCTAGACCTGCAATGGCAGGACATTAGGGTTGAAAAAGGGAAGGTGCAAATTCTCATTTTGCCATCCAAGGCTGATCAGCTAGGCAAGGATACATAAAATCACCTTAGGCAGTATTGCATACGTAGCTTCTGCCCTGTGAAAGCATCACAGCCATATTTGAAGGTTAGAGGACAGGACCCCGGTTATTTCTTTCAACATACTGATAAGTCACCTTTGACGAAATATCAGTTCTGGAAATCAACCAACTTAGCGTTAGACAGAGTGGATGTCCAAGGCATGTGGTTTGACACACATTCATTCAGAATTGGTGCAGCCTCCACTGTGGCAGCCCTGGGTTATAGCTCAGAAGGAATCAAGGCCGGTGGTCATCATCCAGTTACCACAGATATATAAGAACAATACCTAACGTGTAGGCAGGGGCCTAGTCTTGTTATGTCTTCACAGGTCCCATAGGGTTGGTGAGATGGAGGCACATTGTGATTATCAGCCACAGCTATGTATACTGGGCAGAGTGTTATGTGGCTGCATCCCCATGGTCGAGTGATCTGGGTCTCAGAGCCAGAACACATGTCACATGGTATAGGATTGCTCGGCATGCTGAGGAGCCACCGTTGCAGGGCGATGGCCTTTGGCCAGTTCCACCAGATGTGTTGGTGGTACAGCTTGGCGGCAATGATTTGACCAGGTATACTGGAAAGGTGCTGATCCTGAACGTCATATGCGACCTGAAATGGTTGAAGGCCAAGCACCCGGCCATGCATATCTTGTGGTCCATAATCATACCTCAATTGGCATGGAGAGAAGCCAGTTTTTTTCCCCTCAGCGTTAACATGGCATGCAGGAGTGTTAACCGTGAGACCTGCAGACTGGTCTGCAGTGGCTTTGAATTGGTCATTGGTCACCCGAAAATTTGATTGGATACGTGGTCCATAATCATACCTCAATTGGCATGAAGAGAAGCCAGTTTTTTCCCCTCAACGTTAACATGGCATGCAGAAGTGTTAACCGTGAGGCCTGCAGACTGGTCTGCAGCAGCTTTGGATTGGTCATTGGTCACCCGAGAATCTGATTGGATAGGCCTGAGTTTTTTCCTCAGCGTCGACACAGCACACAGGGGTGTTAACCATGAGATCTGCAGAGTGGTCTGCAGTGGTCTTGGATCAGTGACAGGTCACCAGAGACGCAGAGTGGTCTGCAGCAGCCTTGGATCAGAGACAGGTCACCAGAGAATCCGATTGGATAGGCCAGAGGTTTTTTTCCGGAATGATGGAGTCTATCTGTCCAATTTGGGTTTGGTTGTCTTCTTGGAAGACATCAAGGGGAGCTTGCTTGTTGAGCTCAAGTGGCTCGATGGCGGGCATGGGACGTACTGTAGCTGTGCTAGTCCCTATGCTGCGGTGGGTAGTGTGGAAAAAACTGGTATTTTCCGGTGAGTCCTACTGTAAGATCAGGTAAACTAACAGCACATCGGACCTCCCAGCACTGCGGATCATGCGATTACAGTGCTGGAGGAGAGATGCTCTGGG